GAATGCTGGAATAGATTAGTAATGTCTGCATTGTGTGAGGGAGTGGGGAGTGGTAGCACATGTCACCCACAGACCATCCCTGATCCAAAGCCTCCCCTTTGAGGCAGAGGCCAAACCCACCAGCTAAACTACATTTCTGCCATCTTGCACTGAACACTCACCATCTGCAGCGTTATGCCCGCTGCCACGCCCCCAGCAGTGCTGAAGGCTGCTGGGAAGTTGAGCAACCCTGCACCCAGGCAGGCGTTGACTACGATGAAGATGGCCCCAAATGTGGAAGTGGTACCTCTGCTCTGACCTTCAGGAGAGGCTTCCTCCTCATTCTTGGGGTCCGTGTCCACACAGGGACTCTGCAGCAGACGGGCCCGCTCCCCAGCATCTGTGCTGAAGCCCCACTCGCCAAGGTCACTGTTGATGCTGACCTGGGCCATGGCCCTGGGAGCCCTCTTCTTGCAGGGTCTGTGGATTCTGCCTCACGACCACATCTCCTGGGCAGTTGAGGGAACACCTGCAGCTGGTGGGTGGCACCGGCCTGTTCAGGGCTGTTCTCCTAGGTCTGTGGGCTCTGGCTCATCTAAGCCTGGAAGGGAAAGGTGGGTACTACTGTGATCCCGAGGTGGGCATAGAAAAGTGGAACAACTTTCCCAACATCAGACGGCTGGGATTCAAAGCCAGGTGTGCCTCTGTGCAGAACACTGCATTGGGTGCTGTAGTGTGGGGTGGCAGAGACAGAGATAGGTCAGAGGTAAATCCTGCTGGTTTCAGACTTACAGACCCATAAGGTAAATAAGACATAAACATGAGAGGGGTCCTAACATGTCAGCACTGGTCATAAGGTTTGGCTAGATCGAATCACTGATCTGGGGTCACACATTAGCAAGTTGCAGACCAGGATTTGGATCCAGATCTGTCTGGCTTCCCGGCCTGTTTCCATACCACAGGGTCCCAAGAAAAGCACTAGGAACCATGGGTATTTCATTGTATTCCAGCCCAGCGCACCTCCCTCCAGCCCAGAGCCTAAATTCTGCAGAGTTTTCAAAGCCCTTCAAAATTCAGGCCAAGTTTCACTCTCCTCCCATGTGTCTGACCTAACCACTGCCCATCACAGAGGCATCCTCTCTGATGAGCTCAGGGGTTTAGAATGGCAAAGGAGGCCCCCTGGGAGGTCAGATGCTTCTCATTGTTCCTCCTGGTGATGGTGGAACAAAGCTGGGAATGGTACACTCATGAGAGGAAAAAGGAACAGTTCAGGTGCTCAGACATCTGTTACCACGCATGCAACCAAGGGACCAGCTCTAGAGAAAATATCACTCTGCTGGCTCCAGTCAGATGCCACAGGGCTTCTTTTTATGCAACCAGCTGCCAAGCCAGCAACTCAGTCAAAAAAATCAATCAATCAATCAATCAATCAATCAAAGCAGTGAGTAGTGGAGGAAGAGACTTGGGCTCCCCGGCTCCCAGCATAGCTTGAGAGAGAGCCCTGCAAAGTTAGAGCTGCCAGGACTATGAGATCCTGCTCACATCTCAGACACAGAGGTCTCTGCCTTGGTCCAAGATCGCTCAGCCTCCTCTCCCCTCGAATTATTCAACTCCATGGTCCCCAGCTTACCGGCTCTTTCCACCTGATGGGCTATGGTGCAGGGGGTTTGCCCTTGCAGCTCCTTCTCCCCAAAGATTTGGGATCTGATTCTCCTCACTTCTCTCTCTGGTGCCAATTTCTTCTTTCTCAAAACTACCTAAAATCTGCTGTCAGCAGAAAGAAGAGTTCGAGCTGTTACTGGGCTGGTCAGCAGAGTGAAGGGAATCAAGCCTCTCCGACTTTAAGTCATAGAAGGGAGATCAGACCAGATCGGACAGGGAAATGGGCTCACGGAGTGAAAGAGCCTAGACTAATGTCACAGAGGGTAGTTGGCTGAGCCATGATGAGAAGGCAGATACCCGCTTGCTCAGGCCGGAGCTGTAACCATTGCAGTAGGCCGCTCAGATCCCAACCCGAGCAGGTTCCCACTCCAGCCTGGGGCTGGATCCCAGAAACAGGAGGGATAGATTGCACTGGGAGGTGGGCCAGGGCGCACCTGGAGTGGAGGGGAAGATCCCCAGGCCTGAAGTGTTGCGCGCCGGCTGCTGTGGGGTAAATGGGGAGAGGCTCTGGGGCTCCATACGGGACGACTAGGCGGAGACCAGGCAGAGACAAGCCGGGCTAAGGCGCGGCAGAGCCGGCTCAGCCGAGGGCTGGCCTGAGACCGAGGACGCCGCGCCCCGGAGCTCTGCAGGGAGTCGGCAGGGCTCTCCCTCGGTAGGGGCCCTGGGTACCCGGAGACCTAAATCTGGTACCCTCCAACGCCTCTATCTCCCGAGACCTACCTCCCGTGCTTCTGCCCGAACCGGCTGCGCAGACACGTGACCAGCAGACACATGACCGCCGGGGCTTGGTCGGGCCGCGGGACACGCTGGGAGTTGTAGTTTCTGGGGCTGGTATTCCAAACTATGTACCACAGTTTGTTAACTGATCACTTGTTGAAGGATATCTGAGCTGTTTGCAGGTTTTGAAAACATAAATTTTATTGAGCATTATGCATTTTAATATAAAATTTATCTTTTTATTGTGTCCAATACAGTGGTTTTTAGTATATTCATAGTTTTGCAACCACAACCACTAATTTCAGCATTGTTATCACTCTCTCCCCAAAACCCTGTAACCATTAAGTCACCCTCCCCCACCCTTCCTTCCACAAGCCCCTGGCAACCACTAACGTACTTTGTGCTTTGAGTTAACTGTTTTCAAGTTTCATATCCATGTTGGAGCATATTAGTGCTCCATTTATTTTTTATTGCTAAATATTTCATGGTATGGCTACACCACAGTTTTATTCATTCATCAGCTGATTGGACATTTGGGTTGTTTCCACTTTTTGGTCATTGCGAATAATGCTGCTATGAACACTTGCACTGTTTTTGGTGTGGATGCATGTTTTCATTTATCTTGGGTATATGTGTAGCAGTAGAATTGCTGGGTCAAATGGTAACCCAAAGTTGAACTTTTTGAGGAATTGATAGACGGTATTCCAAAGCAGCTCCACCACTTTACATTCCTGTCAACATTGTGTGGGGTTCCAATTTCTCCACATGCTTTATTGTCTTTTTGATTATAGCCAGCCACTCTGGTGTGTGTAGAGTGATTCTCATTGTGGTTTTGATTTGCATTTCCCTAATGACTAGTATGTCTTCTCTGGAGAAATGTCCATTCAGACCCTTTTTTCAGTTATTAATTGAGTTACTTGTCTTTTTATCATTGTGTACTTTATATATTCTGGATGCAAGTCCCTTATTAGATATACGATTTGCACTACTATTCTAGATTTTAATAAAATTATCATCTAAAAACAAGTTGTTCTTTCAATTGTTAGATATAAACCAGTAATTCCTATGGAAAAAAAAAGAATTCCACAGTCCACAAGTAAGGAAAAAATTGAAAAAAATTCTCAAGCTGGTTGAGTGAACTGGATTTTGGTTGTTTAGATGTTAAGCCTGAGGCAGCTTTGTTAAATAGTACCCAATGGCTGGTCAATGGGTCAGCTGTATCCCAACCACCTAGAAAGTTTTCTTTTTATTATTAAAAAAAAAAAAAAAAGATTTCCAAACTTTATCCCAGATATATTGATTCAGAATGCCCAGAAGGTAAGGCCAGGGAACCAATATTAAAAAAAGTAACAACCCAGCTTGGCAAACTACCTCCTCTGTTAGGTGGACAAACATTAACATTTTAGACCCAGATTAAAAAACTAGGAAAGGGTTGAAAGCAAATTGCTGGGAAAAACATCAGGGTTCATTCACACCCCACGTGACTGTTTTCAGTGAGGTAAGGGACTCAGTCCAGGGTGAGCTGGCGATACGTGTGTTTAAAAATAACAGGGTCAACAGGGTGGTCAAGTTCCTTTCCAAGTTCAGGTCTCAGCAGCCAACTTTCAACCGTTTGTGTTCCAGACAGGCGGACTTAAAGCAGTTTCTCCTAACCTGGGTGGTCAGTCCCTTTATGGAGCAGCTGACTGACAAGTTTATTGTTCTCCTTTTTACTTTTCTAAAGACATCCAGGGAAAGTCCATTCCAGATAAGTTCATTCACTTATCCTTTCACAACTTTGGGGGATTCATTTGCAACAGGAACACAGGAGAACCAAGGGTCAAGGACGAGCCTGCTGCACACTTCAGGGAGAAGCGAGGGGGAAAGAACAAGTCGAGGGGACTGTCCCCTCCCAACAACGACCAAAACACTGTGGATATGCTCTGGGCCTGACTCCTGCTCCATTGCCTGTCTGGCCAGTAGCTGTCCAGCCTTGAAGGACTCCTAACGTGAAGCAAGGGAGACCAAATAACCTTGGATGGGACTGATGCCAAGCAGGTGCCACTGTTAGATGCTTGCTGATAGAGTACATGACTTTATGCATCCTGCTTGCAAATCATTAAAAAAAATTAAGTTAGTTGCCAACTTTTAAGCATCGATGGACCTTCCATAAAAATCAGGATTTGTTCTATTTGAAAAATTTAAGACGTGCTGTCTTGGACTTTCATTCTCACAGTGCCGGTTGTTTCCCTATCACTCACCACTGAGAATGAGGGTTGGTCGCCAATGGTCATCTTGCAACCAGGCTGCATCACTCTTTTTACTTTACGTTCACTATTTATATTACCTCCTTGGCTCCTATAGACATCTGAAGCTGTTGCCGCCCCTCCATCTTCTCTGCTTCCTGCCTACATCCACAGGATCCTTTGAGGTACTCCACTTGTCCCCCAAGGTCCAAAGGATTATATCTACGTTTCCAATATCTTTGGACCAGACAAGCTGAATGGCAAGGCAAAGACAAAGATGAGGCTTTAGTTTACATGTGGAACAGCTAATGGCTTATGGTCAGCTGGACATGACTGCGGACGGACGGATGGGATATACAGCCATTCCTACCCTTTCCTCTTATTAAAGAAAAAAGAAAACATTGTAGACAGTGGTCGGGTCTACGGTAACTTTATTGTAACAGAGAAACCAGGCTGCAGTAAGTCTACACGATTAGAGCAGATGGTGGATATCTTTCCAAAGGGTGAAGCCTGAGCCCAGCTGGCAGCACACAAAGGTTAAGACCAAATCCCAGAATAACTTCTTTCCTGGTTCTACCTCATATCGCCCGACTCGTGACGTGAGATGAGTGACTGCTCAACAGCACTGAATTAAGGTACTAGGTCCAACTGGGCAGAGGCGACATCCCGCAGGAGACAATCACTGAAGGGGATGGCAAAATAAGTGCAGTTACTTATTCTCTGCTATTCTTTACCGAGAAAGGGGAGGGCACGGGGTGAGCAGTAAATCATGTTCTTTTCTTCAAATAAGTATATGCTATAGGATGGAGCTGACGGTCAATCCAGCAGTAGAAGGGATAAAAATCTAGGCTAGTTATAGATCTTAGTGCCTGAGAAAAAGAACAACAGTGATAAGGGAGGACAGAGGGACATTAAAATGCCTGCAAGAACTAAAAAGGAGAGTCTTCTTTCTTTTTCTTAAATAAAAATGGAAATTGCATCTCCCCCCGCTCCCGAACTTGCTGCAGTGGCAATAGACGTGCTGGTTTTCAAAACACACAGTTTCTGTAATGTGGTCTGTTGATAAGGTTGCTCAATTACAGGACAAACAGGAGGCTGACAATGTTAGAACTAGGTCTTCTCACAAAGCCTCTAATAAGTGGTATTTTCATTCCAGACCAACACCATAAGGTGCTTCAATTAAAGCTTCTGAAATATTGCAATGGTGTGATTGATAAAATTTTTTGGCTACGACTTTCTTGTACATGTAAACTCTTTTCGGAAAAGCTGGAGATACAAAGATGAGGGAGGGTTTGGTTTACAGCCACAAAGTTCCACACACCAGCCACAGATGCTTCTATTTCTCTACACATTCTTTTCTGAGAAACGCATTCAAACGCTGAGTTTTAAGTACTGTGGTTGAAAGAAATGATTCCGCTCACCACCGTCCACCCTCCTGCTTCCTCTGTGAATCTCACAACAGCAGAGGTCGACTGGAAGGTTGTCTCTGTTCTGTCTCACCAGGGAAATTACTTGGTGACCTGGTGAATGGCATGGGCAAGGTAGCCCACGTTGCCTGAGGTGACCCCTGCCACAGAGATGCGGCCATCCTTTGTCATGTAGATGGAGAACTCCTTGATCAGCCGCTCCACCTGCAGAAAGAAGAGTGCTCAGGCACTTTCTGGTCAAGAGGACTTCCCCAGCCCTGGCATGGAGCAATCATCAAGTGTTAAAAAAGAAAAATCACAGAGGCTGTGTTTTCTCACTTAAACCCTAGTCCCAGAGTTTGGTGTGCTAGCTTAGAGTGCAACAAGAAAAAAAAAAAGCTATTTTAAAGTAGGATGTGAATTCTGAGGTGGGAACAGGTGAAAAAAACCTTAGATTTAGCATTTGTAGAAAAATAGATACAGAAGCCAGCTATGGAACAGCTATTTCTCTTATTAACATTTAGGCTCCTGCTTGTTCTGGTATCTCTGCAGAGAAGCAGTAGTGGTCACAGAAACGACACAAAACAAGTTCTGCTCTTTGGAAGTCTGCAACGTCATGGAGGATACAGACAAGTAAACGACTAATAAAAAATAAGATAGAATGAATGCTACATACTTCCTTTACCTAAAAGGGCTCCAAAATGACTGTTTTTAGGGTAACCCTGAATAGGCGGGTGACATATGAGGAACTCTGGTTTGCAAGGACTGATTAATTGGTCTCCTACAGAGAAACTGGAGTCCACTCACCTGTTCAGGCTTTAGTCCTGTAAAACAGAACATGCCGATCTGGTCGGTGATGTGCTGCCAGTTGTGGGAGGACCCCTCCTTCTTGAGGTTGGAGACCAGCTGAGTCCGCATGCCGATGATGCGGTCAGCCATGCCTTTCACTTCTTGCAACCTGCAAAAAACCCCCGAGATGCAGCTCAGTTCTGGCCAAGCCCTGACAGATAAGCCACAGCTCACAGCTTTTTTACCTTCCTCAAGCACTCCCCTAGCGTGTAACTTTTTGTCCTTGACGGAGTTATATGCTGGTCCAGGAAGAAAGCTATTTTATAGCATTCTGTTTTATACCAGAAAACTATTTTGAGGCAACAAAAATAGTTAACATACTTGAGTTATTAGAAAAAAGTGAATGAATGAATCATGATAACACTTAGGAAGGCTAAGGCTCTCTACCCCTTATGTAGGGGGCAAAAGCTGTGGATTAAACAGTAAAATATGACCTTATTTTTAACATGGATGGAATAAACACTCCTGCCTTCAAAAGTAAGACAATGCACTGTGAACCTACAACGTGCCAAGGTGCTGAGACAGAGAGAGAGGGATGAGAAGTGGTTCTTGCCTCTGAAAGCTTACAGTGGAGGCTGGGAGGAAACCTGTAAACAACCAACTATGGAACAAGGCAGGACAAAGTCAGAATCAACAGAATAGTGCTGTGTTAAGACAGCCCCAGGAAGAAAGGGCTACTTCTCTGGGGAATTGGAGATGGCAGTCCTCTGATCACACATGGGTGGCTAGATTCTAGATACATTTTCCTCTTCCTCAGAATCTACCTTTTCCATTTAATTCCTATGACTCTGTGGGTAATTCTTGTCTGCTCTCACCAACTAGATGACTGTAAAATCATTTACAGTTTGTCTCTGCTCTAATGTGTTCACTTTCCAAAATCTCTCTCTACAATGATGTCATGCACAGTTAGAACGTAGGTTACAAATTGCCAATTAATGGTCAGATAAGAGTCTTAGTCATGTTTTATTAGACCTAGCTAAACATTTTAAAATTGGTCACTTGCACATAAAAATGTGGATTCATGGTCTCTCTAAAAAAATAAGAAGCTGGCAACACTGGTTCCAGCAGTGCAGTTACTGTATGTCACTAGTGGCCAGTTACTAGCTGGAGCTAGAGCCCCTCGCACCTCTGGGGTGGCATTTGATTTTAAATTTCCTGTGGTCTCAGCCATCCAGCCCCATTCTTTTTGAGGCTGGGGTCCTAAAGGCACTGAGTATATGACTGCGGCTAGATCTGGGGTGAACTTAGCAAACTCTCCCATGCTCTTTTGTCCATAAAATGAAGTTCTGACTTCTCACAGTATCAATCAACGTGCTTCATGATCTGCTCCTACTTCCCCAGCTTTGCTGCCTTCTATATTCTCCTCACATGCAGTGTTTTTGCCACAAAAACCATTTGGGACTTTCGAAACACACTCAACATGATGCACTTTGTGAGTCTGTGCCTTCCTCATGCACATCTCTGTCCAGTTTTTCTCTTCTGCTTTATTTCCTTTGGGGGGCGGGGTGTGGGGGGGAAACCTTCTCTTCAGCTCAAATGCTGTTTTCATTACATCCTTCCTAATTCCCCACTAGAAATCAATGGCCCTTCCGTTAGCCAGCATTTATTACATTCTGTATTGTATCAATGCCATATGTGGATCTTTCTCACTAGATTGTAACTCCCCAAGGCTAGAGCTATCTTAGTCATCTAGCATAGTATCTTTGTCACCTTTCTACACTAGACTTCAAATGTGTGTTAAAATGCACACAATAAAAAAATTAAGTTTTGATAACTATTAGGGAATGTGAAAATATAAAAAAATACTTAAAATATTAAGTAAAAAAAGAGATTAGTATAATTCTAGGTGATAAAAATGAAACCAAACCTACACATACATATGTAACAGTATGGTATATAGTATATTACAATTATGAGTAATTTTAGGCAAAGAAAAAAAAAAAAGCTGGGGACGTGATTCCATAGCGTAGCGGTTAGCACGTCTGCTTTACAAGCAGAAGGTCCTGGGTTCACGCCCCAGTGGAGCCACGGTCCACGGTCTACGGCCACGCCACCCTGAACAAGCCCGATGTCTGATCTCGGAAGCTAAGCAGGGTTGGGCCTGGTTGGTACTTGGATGGGAGACCACCTAGAAAGACCAGGTGCTGTAGCATA